AGGGATAAGAGGGTTTAAGTCTATTTGCTTCTTTTCTTCATCATTTGACTGCTTTCTTTCTGAAATGGATTGTAGACAGAGCTTACCTCAGTGTTTTTATTTATGGCTGCTTGTAGGAAAGTTCAGCCTCCTATAGGAAAAATTTCTCCTTTAGGAATTCCCTTGCGTTTTTCAGTTTGGCTTAGTGTAGGAGACATACTGTTTTCTAACTGAAACTCTGGCTGAACTTTTCAGCATGTTGTAAACTTAAGATACATGATTGTTATGTCTTACGATTGCTGGTTGACGTTCATGGAAGCTTTCTCAAACTTAAAATTCAGTCTCTGCCTCTTTGCCCCAAGCAAAATTAGATACGTGTGTGTGTGTGTGTGTGTGTGTGTGTGTGCGTGTGTGAAGCTGCCTAGGAAATGATCAGACAAGGGTAGCAGGAGCCCCCGGTGGGTTAACGATTGGTGAAAGGAACTTAGAAAGAACCCACCTTGATAGATTAAGCAATTTAAAATGGCAACCTTGTACCTTAAGGCTTGCAAGATTCTGTTGATGTAGCCTTACAATAAAGTAGAATGATTTCATCTAGTTCTGTTTTCTGTCTAGTTTACCAGGGAGGGATAATAGTATTTGCACTTGGGGGGGGGGGGGAGAGAGCATGTTTGGAGGTTTGCGAAGAGTGATTGGGTCTGCCAAAAATGTACAATAACTACTTTTTTTCCCCATTATATTCAGGACCTCTCCCTCCGCCTCCGCCACCACTAATCAGAAACGGAAGTACTTCCAGGGCACTGCCAGCTACTCCCCAGCTTCCTTCAAGAGGAGGATTTGAAAAAACCAGAAGTGGGCCTGTGCCCCCACCTCCTCCTGACAGGCCAGGTTCTGGAGCGCCCCCACCCCCTCCTCCATCACTTCCCTCATCTGCCCTCCGAAATGGCTTCCAGGATTCATCCTGTGATGGTGAGTGACGGTGTTCCTGTTTTTGACATTGTCCGAATGCGTAATCTGTCGGTGGAGTGGTGGGAAAATATGATTTGTGAGCCTCACACATACGGGTATGGATAGCTCTCACCAATACAGTTGGAAGAACTTTCTTGCCTTCTGGAAGGAACTCTGCATTCCTTACAGCAAGAAAATAATTTTCCATATATGCTGGACTCTTGCATACATGGAAAAGGGAAATAAAGGGTCCCAATATCATCATTGAGGCTTCTGGGGAATCAGCTTGCCTTGAGCTTATGGGAGAAGAAGCATAAACAAATTAGAGATTAGCCACCATCCTGCTCATTATGGTTGTTCATCTCCAACTTATATCTATCTATCTCAGTTTTCTACATAAATCAATCAGTCCACAGTTATTTGCCTTCAGATTTACACCCACAAAAAAGGAAGTGAAAGTAGAGAGTAAACAAGAGAGCAGGAGCAGATTGGACAAGGCTTCAGATTTGCACAGCATCTGTTCTTCTGGCCACCTTCCCTTTGCTTGAACTTTTCTTGCTTTTTCTGCCATCTCCAGAGGACAGAAGCAGAAGGAGCAACCCTAATGAGCTGGATGGTGGCTAATCACCGATCTAATTATGCTTCTTCTCCCACAATGTTCCCTAGAGGCCTCTCTGATGGTATTTGGGGTCATTTATTCCCCCTCTTGCTTTCAACACCACATTAGCAAGAGTCCTGCTGTTCATGGAAAATTCTTCTCTTGCAGAGTTCTGGAATTGATTTGATTTGATTTTATTAACATTTGTAGGGATAGCAATAACAATAGCAATAGCAGTTAGACTTATATACCGCTTCATAGGGCTTCCAGCCCTCTCTAAGCGGTTTACAGAGTCAGCATATCGCCCCCACAGTCTGGGTCCTCATTTCACCCACCTCGGAAGGATGGAAGGCTGAGTCAACCTTGAGCCGATGAGATTAGAACCGCTGAACTGCAGATAACAGTCAGCTGAAGTGGCCTGCAGTACTGCACCCTAGCCACTGCGCCACCTTGGCTCTTACATGGAGGAATGGAGGAACTCTCCATTCCTTCCAGAATGCAAGAAAGCCCTTCCAACTCTAGGATGAGAGGTCTCCATACCTGCCATTGAGACTCACACATCACATTTTTCCACCACTCAATTGGTATAATAATCAAAGTAGGCTAGTTAAAAAAATACTGACTTTTTTTAATAAGTAAAGAATGTTTCATTTCAATATAAACGCAGATGACGGACGAAACAAACCTTTGACCACCTTAGAATTTATATTAGCCCTTGTATTTTATTCATTAAATGCATCAATCTTGCTAGAGTTAAAAACTTTAAGAGAAGCTGAGCCTGTCTATCTGGATTAGCTATATTACAGAACATTATTGCTATAAGGATATTAGAAATGTTTTGATAAGTAAATAGTAAATGTTATAAGTACTGTGTTTCTCCAAAAATAAGACAGGGTCTTAGGTCTTATTATTTTTGAGGTGCAGGAGGCAGCGAGCGTGGTCACCTCATGCCTGGTTCTGTGTTGCAATATTTTTTTGGGGGGGAGGATTTATATTAGCGCATGCACTCAAAAGTCCGATTGGGCTTATTATCCCAGAAGGTCTTATTGTTGGAGAAACAGGGTATGCTGTTAGTAATATTTTTATATGGTTTCATGACCAGTGCCAGATTGATTTTAGATATATGGATTGTGTGACGTTAATGAGAATAGAAAGAGGAAGTGAAAGGAATTTACTGTTCTTTTCAGTTAAACATGTTTGTAATAATATGAAAGTCCTGTTTAAAACAAATTAAAAGTATGTAAAGTCATGAAACAATTTAAGGAAAAAAATGATGAATTCAAGACATTGGATGTCAGCCTACCCTGAATCAAAGGGATGTACAGTATTTCTGTTGGAAAAATAAAGTGATTGGAAGCTAAAGATGTTCCAATAGTTGGAAATATAAGGCCATCCTTGGTCTCTTGAAAAAATAACCCCAACTATGCTAAACAAGATCTATTCGCATTTGGATGTACTCCCAGTTTTTAAGACTGGTTTACAAAATATACACTCTATTGAATAATATGTCATCAATCCAATATTTTCTAAAATATAGTAGTCAGTTTTTATGGAATACTCTTGAATGAGCCTATTAGTTGAGATTTGTATTGACATGATTTGTCTTATGTATGCACTAATGTTACACAATTCCTTTACATTTATCTAGATGAGTGGGAAAGCAGATTTTCCTTCCATCCTCTGTCTGACTTGCCACCTCCAGAACCATATGTACCCATGAACAAGAGCTATCCTAGTAAATTGGTAAAAAATGACAATAGAAGTAAGTATTTTGTTTCCCTTTAGAAAGTAGATTTAATGATAGTGTACTTGGTAAATTATTTCTGAGTTGAAAACATGTGAAACATTTTGAATGCTCATCAGATACTCCATAAATAGTGAATATAATTATTTTTGGTAATATCATAGAGCCAAGGTGGCCCAGTGGTTAAAATGCAGTACTGCAGGCTACTTCAGCTGACTGCTAGCTGCAGTTTCAAATCTCACCAGGCTCAAGGTTGACTCAGCCTTCCATCCTTCCAAGGTGGGTAAAATGAGGACCCAGATTATTGGGCGCAATATGCTGACTCTGTAAACCGCTTGGAGAGGGCTGTAAAAGCACTGTGAAGAGGTATATAAGTCTAAGTGCTATTGCTATCATGGAAAGAGTACCAGTTATCTCAACAGGAGTGGCTCTCGTTCTGCACTCTTCCCCAATGAGTTATTTCAGTGATCCAATTGGATAGTCAAGGTAAGTCAGATAGATAGGCCATAGATTACTTATAAGCGCCACTGAGACCTACCTCAACCCACTTCTGTTTGCTGAAAAGGCAGATAGATACCTTCTGGGCCAAGATAAGCAGTGAAAGATGGAGAAATAAGACTGCACTGATTCTCTGCTGGTCGTCTCCTACTGTAGATATTGGGTAAGGGATAAACCCAAACAACTAGCTGTGAAGAAAAGATAAGTAAGCAGAAAATAAACACAAATAGCCAGCAAATTCTTAATCAGTGAAGTTCCTCTATCTTTGCTCATCCTTCAGAATTGTCAGCAGATAGAATGACTATTCTTCATGTGGTGATTCACTCTACTTCATCATCATTTTACATTGGAGGTGCACCAGAAGGCATAATAATTTTTTTTAAAAAAATAAACTAGAACATATCATCTTCCATTAACAGTGTGTCGTCTGGGTATAAATGTCTCTCTGCAATTACAATCAAAGTTTGCAATATTCATTACCTTGATGATAATTCTCTAATTTTACAATATTAACAATCAGCATTTTAGCTCTATTCATTTCTCCCTCTTAACATATCTTCTAATGAAATTATAATATTATATTGAGTATGGTCATCTTAACAATCATATATAATCATCATCGTATTGTTTACATCTCTATCATATATTCTTTATTTCACTAATCCCTATTTATTTCTCACTTCTATTTTTATTCTCCAAACCGACCATAAAATAACTCCCATGTCATATAATATTCAATAATAAAATCTTGAGGGACTAGATTTTAGAAAAATCTCAACATTTTTGCTGCTGAGAAATGATATTTACTCATGTCATATTACTCTCGTGCATCATAAAAATTGTTGCTCAGCGTAGTATTTAAGTAGTCAAAGCACCAGGCTGGAAGCCAGGAGATTGTGAATCCTAGTGCTGCCTAACACATGGAAGCTAGCTGGGTGATTTCTGGTCAGTCCCCTTTCTCAGCCCAACACACCTCACCAGGATATTGTTATGTTCAGTTCAGTTCAGTTTATTTCATTTATATGCCGCCCTTTTCCCCCCGAAGGGGATTCAGGGCGGCTCACAACTCAACCAGGGAAGGGGAATACAGACAAAAAGAAATTTAAAAAAAACAAAGCATAACAATGCATAATTTATAAACATACAACAGTCATACCATTCGAGACGGGGGCAACAGCTCTTTAGCCCCAGGCCTGTCGGAACAGCCAGGTTTTAAGGGCCTTGCGGAAGGCCTGGAGGGTGGTGAGGGTTCGAATCTCCACGGGGAGTTCGTTCCAGAGGGTTGGAGCAGCCACAGAGAAGGCTCTCCTCCGAGTAATCGCCAGTCGACACTGGCCGGCGGATGGAATTCGGAGGAGGCCTAATCTGTGGGATCTGATCGGTCTAGTGGAGGTAATTGGCATGTGGGGAAATGGAGGAGGAAGGAGTATATTGTGTGTTCATCACATTGAATTATTTATAAAAATAATAAAGGTAGGATACAAATAAATATTCTAATTCCCAACATATGTTATTTATAACTTTAAACAGTCATTTAATCAAAGTTTAATATTAAAAGGTTATATCTGCAAAGTAGGTTTTGGGCCATAGAGCTTATACAAACTATTTTTTCCCCTTTCCCATTTCTTCTCTTCTGAAAAGCTCAATTTGTTTTCCTTTTCGAGGTGGTGGGAGCGGTTAGCTATAATGCTGCATTAAAGGGCACCATAAATTCTGCCATGCCAATAGATGTCTCTTCACGATTTTAAAAATCATGATAGCCAAATCTTGAAAGGTTGACTAATTTGAACTTTTAAATAATTTATTTTTAATGAGATTGCTTTTATATTTGTATAGCTTAGAACGACGGTCCACCAATTTTTCTGACTTGGTGGCCCGGTGGAGGGGGAGAAAGGATGGTTCTCTGTGAGTGGCAGGCCCACAGGCAAGCACGCACAACTCCATTTGTGCAAATGGTGGGCATGCACGTCCCCCCTTCGCACATATGGAGCTTCACATGTGAGGCGTGAGTGCCTGCCGCTTGCTCAAATGAGCTGCATGCATGCACGTTGAACCGCCACTCACACAGCCTAGTCAGTGGTGGGATTCCAATTTTTTTATTACCGTTTCTGTGGGCGTGACTTGGCAGTCTTGGCTTGGTGGGCGTGGTTTGGTGGGCGTGGCAGGGGAAGGATACTGTAAAATCTCTATTCCCTCCCACTCCAGGAGAAGGTTACTGCAAATCCTCATTCCCTCCCGATCAGCTGGGACTTGGGAGGCAGAGAATAGGTGGGGGCAGAGCCAATCAGATGTGGTATTTACCGTTTCTCCTAACTACTCAAAATTTCCACTACCGGTTCTCCAGAACTGGTCAGAACCTGCTGAATACCACTTCTGGGCCTTGTTCTGAACACACCGAGGCCCAGTAATCAGGGAACTTCTGGCTTAGAATATTTTATGGAGTTGCATGAAGGCGCCTATTCCCTGAAAAGACTGCTATCTGCAGAAGCATTCCATTTTGATCATAATGGTGAAAGTGTTATGGCATTACAGCATAAACTCTGCCCTTTCATATATGTGTGTAATGTCACTGCGCTTAGAGAAGGGGCAGATTTTGAATGCTGAGGCGGGAATACTATGGAACTGTATGTTTAATTTTTGAAATCTGTTTCCAGGTTTCGATAAATCTTGTCAGTAAAGGATGACTGTGAGGTTTGCTTTCTCTTTCTTTAGGTGGATCCAGTCGCAGAGAAAGAGGTGCTCCGCCACTTCCGCCCATCCCACGGTGAAGTGGGCTTCTAATCCCTTTCAGGATGACTGTTATCCTGACACGTTCTTTGAACCTCTCCACATGTCATCACAATGCTCCTTCTCCAACAGCACTTTTGAGCACAACTCCCCACCTTTCGGTTATTTTTTTTTTAACTTTTCCATTTAACTTGGTAAAGCTCAAGGATTTGCTTTGAATGCCCTGCCTACATTGGTTTAGATGCAGGGTGACTGAGATCTTATTCCCCTTTTCTTGGCATTTAGTTCTAGTGACACTAGTGGAACTTGCTTCCAATAAAATGCCAAAGCATCTTTACCTTGAAAACTATCTTCAAAACTTCTTGGAAACTATCATTCGTTGCAGTTCTGCTCAGCCTTGTCATCAACAAGGAGAGAAAAGCTGCTTTGGCTTACAGCATAATACTCTTAGATGTAATTCCTGGAGATGAAAGTCTTCCCTATTTCTATGGGTGGAAATTCACTTTTTAAACTGTAATCTCTGTGAGATTACTGATCAATTTGATCTGGGCCATTAAAAAAAAAAAGTGGCACAGTAATTGCTACATTCCACTTCTAGAAAGAGATTGGGGATAATTACGTGACATTTTCTCAGGCAATCTGTTTGATCTGTAATGAATTGGAGCCTTTCAGAGACCAAAAGAATGTTGCCATCAAGATTGCTTATAACTTCCGTTACAGCTTTCACAAATGCATCTCAGGCTAGCTGTTGGGCTCAATTGGATTGAAGTGGAGAATTTTTAAAAAAAGGAAAATACTGGGCACTCGGTCATTAGGTTGGGATGATTGAGTGTCATTGTCATTTTGAGGATTACACCATCACTTCACTAATGGTTATACTATTAGACCTCCCTTCTAAGATGTATCATTCCCAAAGCTTTCCAATAATATGTAATGTTTACTATAAAAGCCTATATTTTGATCTGCAAAAGACAGATACTCAACAATTATTTAGTGTATCCAAGTATCAAAGAATGCCACTAAGACTTTCTGTGATTTTTTTTTGGCTAATATCTATGTGCTGGACCTCCATTTTTATTATGGTACAAGTTGAAACTTTTGAGTATGGGAATTTTTTATTTGGCTCATATGTGCTTCAAACAGCTTTTCTTTTCTTTTGCGTTGGCAGCTACTAATCAAATATCCAGCTATATGTAGGAAATGTTTAACTGTAGAAGAAATTCAATTGAGTTTTTTACAAGCTCTCAATTAAGTTTTTAACCTGGGTTCAGAAGCGGTTAGTATTTACATTCTGATTTTGCTGCAATGATCATTCCTTTCACAGGATTTTCCTTACCTGAAAAAGGTCCAAGAGCAGACTTGGTTATTGTGGGTTGGGGCTATGTGCTTTTGGAATCCTACCTGTCAATAAATGGATTTGGCAATTTACAATGTTCATTTTATCTAACTGATATCAACTTACGGCAAGAATCCTTGAAGAATTATGATTCTGTACTGAAATTTATGGGATAAGCCTCCCAGAGTGGCTTCACGGTAAGATGGACAGCATATAAATTTAATAAATAATAAAACAAATAAAACAAATACAGTTTCTACTTAGGGGGAGATAAGTTATGAAGATTTAATTTCAAGGATCTTCTCAGTTTTATCTGCCTAATACTTTGCAAGGTAGAGGCAGCAGAGTGATCTTTCAAATGATGTTAGCAGCATCTGTAAAGGAGGTTAAAAAAAAATCAAGATGGCAGATGCTCAGCGATGATGTCATGAGATGGGAAGAAGCAGAAATATTGATGAATCAATGTGTTTAATATAATACAACGCACAACAGAATTGTGGAAAGGTAAAGTAAGATCTCTTTAGTTACATACATGAAAAGTAAACTCACATATTTGAGGAAAAAGTCTGAGGATACACTTGAAAGTGTTCACAATGGGTATTTGTATTAGTGGCCTTATCAGCAAAGATACACCTTTGTGTTGATGGTAAGGACAGAACTAAAGAGAGCAAAGAATATAACTTTACATTGTCTGTGAATGAGTGTATGTCATTTTTAAATTTACTTTTTTGGATTAAAATAGACTTTGTTTTAGTGTTGAGGTTCATTCTTTGAACCCACTTCCGTGATGGAATTGGTATGTAACGAATACCTTTCAGGATCCAAAACCTTTATCCACCCAAATTTTGCTATCAAATCAGAGATTTACATAAACTATAATCAGAAATAGGTTTCAGCACTTTTAAGGGTCATATATGGTCTAGAATTATATTTTTCAATGGACTGTTGCCCTATTTGTATATATTTAATTCTGACATTCATACAGATGAATCATTCCAGTTTCAGTCTGATTACCATAGTACAGTACATGTGTGGATTATAAACAACTTCAACATGATGAACAAAAAATAATTGAATTATTATTTACATTTTGTTGCAGAAACTGGAATATTTATGTTTCTTTGTATTACCCAGATTTTTTTATATGCTGCAAGGTCTCTGCATCTTGTATGTGTAGTTTGATAGCCAATTGTTATTTTTAGCATATAAAGGGAATGTGGCAGAAAGAAATTCCAAATTCACTGCAATTTCAGTAGTTAATGTAATAGAACTCTTTGAGCTGGAAAAGTTGGACAAACTGATTTATCAATGAAAGGGCCATTAGCCATTAGCCATTATAAATAAGGTAATAGAGCACTGTTCTTCTGCCAGTAAATCAGGATCAATTTTCTTTAACTTGGTGCTTTCTAGCTTCAGTGGGATGTCAATTTCAAATCTCCTATCATTCAACCACCTTGACCATTGCTGATTAGGAATAATGGGATTTATAGTCCCAATACATCCAACAAGAACCAGTTTAGGAAAAAAACTACTCAAGATACGTGAAAAAGTATAGTCAGCCAGGTAGAGAAAGAACAGGCAAATAATAAAAATACCTGTGGTCCACTTAATTATGTTTCCTTACTGTGCTTAGTTTTATCTGCCTAATACTTTGCAAGGTAGAGGAAGCTGAGTGCTCTTTCATACCAGATAATATTGCTTACTGTATCTACAATTATTACTACTAAATAGCTGCCATTTTTGTGGCATTTAGAAAATTAGATCTTTTTTTACCATTAATCAATCAAAGAATTAACTTGGCAAATTTACTTCTAGTGCAATATAATCTGAAATTCCAACCAAAGCCTTAACATGCAGAATGTGATGTGGCCTTCAGAGAGAAACATGGCCTTCTCTCTTTCTCAGAGGATAATTTGTTAGCACTTTCTCTTCTAAAGGAAACCTCCTCAAAGAATTTATGCTAAATACTGTAAAAATATTTCAAAGAAGAGATTTGTTTTGGTTGTGTAAACCACCTCTCTTTTTCTTTCACCAGATATATTTTAAAAACAACATGCTTAACACATTTTAGTATAGATGCATTAAAGTACATATTTATTTATGCACAATAAGTAAGCGGTGGAAAATAAAATCACATTTTCATCCCTGGTGCCATGAAACACCTCGGTGCCTTGAGTCTAAATGGCAGCTTTGAAAAGAAACAAGATCTAAAACTTATTGTCTCCACTGTGAATTTCAAATACAACATTTATACTTTGTGTGATATTCAAGTAACATACAACGCACAATATTCACTAAGTAGCATCTTATCTTACTATACAGAAATACAATATAATGAATTACAAACACCAGACTGCAATTTTAAGTTCTTTATTCTAGCAGTATCTTGGATGGATAAATTCATGGAAATTTTAGATGGATGCATTTAAAATTTGAAAAAAGCAAAATTTAAATCTTTTTCATATGAAAGAATCAAATCATTTGTGAAATAACAGGATATGTATTTAAAATATATGATCCATACCCTCCTTTTTATAGAATTGCACATATATCATGGAATAAAACATGCCCATATTGTAAATAAGGTTGTTTTCATTTGATTTTAGGTTATTAACATGCATATCTTAAAGTACATGTACATGAGTATCTAAATGGCAAGTGAATTTCTTGCATGTACAAAGGAATAAAAATTAAAACGATGCAAAGTTATGTCAAATGGAGCTGTATTTGTGTTTGTTACATGCAAAATGTGAGTTGATAACCTTTCAGGTTTAGAATCTCATTATTAAGTGGCCACCAAAACGCATATATTTCAGTGGGACTGTTTACACAATGGGTAATTCAGTGCAGTCCTCTTTGATAGTGCCAGTTCACTTGTAATTATCATACTTGGATATCCTTCCCATCTCCCAGAATTGTATGATCTCCATCTAATTTTTTTGTTTCATTAAAAAAATCAATTGAAATCTATATGAGCTTAAGATTCTGCTTTTCAATTTAAAACATGGTCTGGATTTTAATAAAATTATTTTGAGTTTCCTGCTTCATTTTTAAAACTGACCACTAGATGGTGCTCTTTTGTTTGTTTTAGTTAGATCTCTACACCAAAAGAGTAGTCCTTGTTTAACAATCTTAACGGGGGCCACACTTGTTATTAAGCAGTCATTATGCAAAATATTATGTGATCATCCCATTAACAAGGACAGGCCTGGTTGTCTGTAAATGAATCACCCATTAAGCAAGACATCACATGACCATGATTTGTGAATTCTCCTGTTGGCTTATCCAGTGACTTTGCTTGTTGGAAATCAGCTGGGAAGATTGAAATTGGCGACCACGACAGGGGTGGGTTCCTGCCAGTTCTAACCTCTTGTATAGAAGAGGTTCCACAAATCTATAGTGCCATTTAGAACCGGTTCCACCTCCCTCCCCTTGCCCGTCCGCACATCATCAAGATGAAGAGCGAGAGGAGGAATTCTGGGAGTTGAAGTCTTAAAGCTGTCAAGTTTGAACACCCGGGGGGGGGGGTTCTAAAGGATTAGGGGTGCAAGGGTCTTGTAACTTGACAGTTTTAAGACGTGTGCTTCAAATGCCAGAGTTTCTGGGCCAACATTTTGGTTGCTAAACGAGCGTTGTTAAGTGAGTTTCACCAAATTTTACAAGTTGGCCATGCCCACCCAGTCACATGACTGGCAAGCCACTCCCACTTAGTCACATGGCTGGCAAGCCACTCCCACAAAGCAGGCCACACCTACAGAAGAGATTCTAAAAAAATTTGAAACCCACCACTGGACCACAGGATCGTGAGGGCTGGTCCTCATTTTTTCCAGCGCCAGTGTAGTCAGAACAGTCACTGAACAAGTTATCATTAAGTGAGCACTACTTGCAATAAAAATCCGTAACGCAGACCCATGACAACTGAATGACACTTGGGCCAATTTGTTTAAAATGCACCATATATTAACACACCCTGCACTCCCCATTTTTCTCCCCATACAAAGTCATTCCCAAAAGGCAACCAAAGACGGTTTCTGTTTAATAGTCAGTCTTGAAACGAGGTTGAAATGGATGTAAAAGTCAATTGCACACAAGAGAGCTTGGAACTAATGGGTCACCATCCATTCAAACACCTTGTCCAGGAGGGGAATATTAGCCATTGGACTTTTCAGGAACGGCCTACTTAATGCCACATTTAGCTTTACATCTAAATTAATATTTTAAAAAGAGAGTTAATACATTTTTTTAGTCTTCAAAGGTTTAAGTTATCTAAACATTAAGAGTCTTAATAACCTACAGTGAATACTGTGTAAGCAGGACTATAAAATAATACAATGTACAGTAGTTGTTTTACAATACAATTGTTTTTAAAAAGGGCCTGATCACTGCCTCTCTTAAGGAAGGTGGAATTGTCTGCCAATAATTGTAAATGCTTCATTGAGAGGTAACTGAATCAAAATAATAGCTTTTTGCAGATATGGAGACTAAAATGTGCAATGTGTTCTTCTAAAAGGTTTAGAGAATAGGCTGCTGTGCAGCTTGTCTGTTGTAGCAAAATAAGTAGATATTAAAATACACAGCAAGTAATAGTCAAAGCTCTGGAGACTCTGTGTAGCGCTGGGATGCTGAATTTCCTCTCAGCTTATTTTTCCACCTGGCTTCCCTATACTCACCTCCACACTGTAGCGCCCCTCAATCAGCCTCCCCAACCCCAGTGTGGCACCCCCATACCAGGGGTGAAATTCACTTACCTTTGCTACTGGTATGGTAGCAATGTGAGCGTGTGTGTGCCACTGCCATGCATGCACAAAATCTTCCGCGCATGCACAGAGCGCGCCTGCAAAGGTAAGCAAACAGTGAGGAGGGGGAATCTACTGTGCCACATGATTTAGATTAGCTAGAAAGCAGGAAATCCTGGTTTCTATCTAATATAAATCACGCGTCACAGCTGATCATCGGAAAAACCGGTTCGCCTGTACAGATAGAATTTTTTTTACTACCAGTTTGGGCGAACAGGTAGCATTTTTAATACCAGTATTGGTCCGAACGGGTAGCATTTCACCCCTGCCCCATACTCCTTACTTGGACTCCTTCACTTCCTGCTTAATGACCAATGTGTTTAGAGTTACAACAGTAACCAAGATTGCTGGGATTGTTACTCTAATTGTGGTCATAAGTCAAGGGTACCTCTATATTTGCTATGAATTAAGCTTTTGTTTACTCCTTCAGGTCTCTATAGCAATATTGAATTACCAGTATATATATATCCTTGTCTGGATAAAATGGGAAGAATGGAAAATTAATCTTTAAATATTAATATTTAACAAGGAACTTCGCAATTTTGGGATGATACAAGGCATTACTATATTGATAAACTGGGGGCGGGGGACTCAGATTAAGCCAGGAGGAAATAATTGTTCAATTTTTTGCTGGTTTGCTTGTTTCAAACATTGAAATATGAGATGTGTTAATTTCTAACTTTACTGAAAGTGACCTTTTAAAATACAGCTGGAGGGCAATGTTGGCTGACTCAGAAAGATAAGCACACATTATGCTGCTAAAGTCGATATGAGATTTGGTGTCTACTTTACACAACTAAATATTAGCAACTAAAGCAGAATGTTAAAGTGGATGTTAGTTATTGCCAACAACTTTGGAATGAAGTGTTGAGATACCTCATATTAACAAATCAGTGATTCATCAGTGGATCTTGAGTACATTCACTATTACAATCCTAACATGCAATTAATTCCACAAACCACTTTTCATGTTTATTGGACATGACAGAGAATGTTTTAAAAGGATTGGTTTTCAACTTCATGATGCTGTTAAGTATAAAATGTTGGGTGGAACTTTTACAACCCCACAAAATCTTGGTTTTGCATTTACTATTTTGTTTTAGGGAGATACTGTATTCTTCAGAGTATAAGACGCACCAAGATTTTGAAAAGGTAAATTAAAAAAAAGTTTTTGCACTCTGCAGGCCTCCCATACCCTCTGCATGCCTCATTTTTTTGTGAAAAATGAGGCATACAGTGTGTTTGAGAGGCCTGCAAAGTGCTCCTAGGGATTGGGGGTGGGGGCAAGAACAAGCAAAAAAACAGCCCATTTTGCAAAAAAACAGGACATGCATAGGTTTTGGAAAGCTTGTAAAGTGCTCCTGGGGACTGTGGGGGGGGGGCAAAAAGGAGCCAAAAACAGCCCATTTATTGCTCATTTGTGCCCTCCCCAGACCCCAGGAGCACTTTGCAGGCCTCCCAAACCCTCTGCACATCCATTTTTGCGAAGATGGCAGCGTTTCAGGAAGCAAAAAATGCTGTATTCAGTGTATAAGATGCAGCCAGATTTTCACCCCCCTTTTTTGGGGAGAAAGGTGTGCCTTATACTCTGAAAAATACGATGCGTTTTAAAGATGTGAATGTAATTCTGAATTATATGGCAAACATTTGTGTTTCATCAAAACACAAAAAGTAATGGATTTATTGAGCATGGAGTGTAGGGGGGGGGGACTTCTTCTGTAAGAAAGCGTTTGGTTGTATTCTTTTTTGTTCCCTCCCCCCCTTACTTTAAAAGGTTTTAAAAAAGAAGGGCTCTGAATTGGCAACAGCATTTTCATATTGATTTCACCACTAGCACAAACCTACCTTGCCAATCCATCTGATTGCTTGTTAAGAGAGGCTTGGCTGTGTTAACATTCCCCCCCCCTTATTTCTGCACCATCCAAGAGCAACTTTCAGGTGTGACAACATGGGGGGGGTGTTATCACCTCTGCCTTCAGGGAAGTCAGGTGGTTAATCGGCTTTGGAGAGGCAAAGGACAGGAATTAGCCGCCTCTGTAGCTTTGTACATACTCAAGGCTGGCACTTCAATAGTAGGGGAAAGCCCTGTTTGGTTACCAGTACAAGCAGTATATACACCAGTGGTTGTCAACCTGGTCCCTACCGCCCACTAGTGGGCGTTCCAGCTTTCATGGTGGGCGGTAGGGGTTTGCTGTAACTCTGCTTTATGAATTTTATAAATTAAAGTTACTTCCCTACTTTATAAATCACCATTACTGTGGAACTGGAGGGAGGTTAGAAAATTTGACTGCTAACAGAGATACAAAAGTGGGCGGTAGATATACAAAGGTTGACTACCCCTAATATACACTATATCACAGAAGTGAGTACACCCCCCTCATTATTTTATTAATATTTAAGTATATCTTTTCATGTGACAACACTGAAGAAATGACACTTGGCTACAATGTAGTGAGTATACAGCTTGTGTAATAATGTAAATGTGCTGTCCTCTCAAAATAACACAACACACAGCCATTAATGTCTAAACTGCTGGCAACAAAAGTGAGTACACTCCTAAGTGATCAGCTAAGTGACAAGCTGTATACTCACTACATTGTAGCCAAGTGTCATTTCTTCAGTGTT